CATAAATACCACTCTAGGATGCTAGTTGACCAAGTAATTGTACTCAATCAAGAAAGAGAAAAACAAGTCTCTAATCTAACATTCTGATTGATGATTTAACGATGATTCCATGTGAACTTATAAAAGAAACAAATATTTTAATATATATATATATATATATATATCTCATTCGGCGCGTGCATGACTTGATCATAATACAAATTGATAACAAATTCGTCAATACGACACTTTCCCAAAAAAAAAAAAAAAAAATCATCAATACAACAAACTGATAACAAATTATATCTCGTTCGACGTGCATGACTTAATCAGAATACAAATTGATAACAAATACTTTATTGTTGTATAAAGTATTTTTCCAAACAGAAGAATTAATTATTACTATTTTGATTTCTACAAATCCTAACTTTACTCTGATATCAATTGTTGGGTTTTATTTCAATAATTCATGTAGAAATCAAACATGCTGTAATTAATTAAAGAGTAATTTAGATATTGTACCTGATTAGAAGATTAAACTTTAAATACCTTTGAAAATTCTTGAGTGCCTTTTGAAAGATCTGAAAAATTAGAGCACTTTACCTCCTTCTGAAAGTTGTCGATACGATATGATCTGAATAAAAGTTTTAAAACCCTTATATATAACAACAACAGGGGGGACGACTTCTCTACAAACAATAATATCTAAATCTCACTTCCTATCATGGAAAATTAGATATCAATAGTTAGAAATAAATCACACCAAATAAGTTAGAAAACCACAATCCAATGGTATAAAACTATACCCCCAATTAGACCACCGAATTAGAAAGTACAAACCCAATCCATCAAGTATCAATAATCACATTGCAATCCTACTTTAGAAAACGTAGTGCATAAGACCATAAAATAATAATTATTATTTATATATATATATATATATATATATATATATATATATATATATATATATAAATTCCAACATATTATAGTATGTTTAATAAGATTGATTAATAAAGACACTTATATGTATTTGGTGACTAATAACATAGATGAATTAGGCAAGAATTGAATTTATAGATTGATTCCTATCCCCTGTTTGGACGGAGGGGTGAAAAATAAATGAAAGGAAAAAGAAGAGGGATGAATGAGGCATTTCGAGAAAAGTAAGTTGTTTGTCTTACTTTTTGTTCGGTTGAATAAATAAATAGCAAAGGATAGAGAGGATTGATATGCTTGCAGATTTTTTGTTTAATTGAAAGGGAGGAAATGAGAGATTTATATATTTTTATCAACATAATTTCATTATTGTTTTTTTTTTTTAGAGAAAACTACACTTATATAGAGTTAGGAGTCTTAAATAACAAAATAGTCTATTTGAAAAGTTCATTTTTCACTTTGACTGAATAAAATAAAATAATTACATATGCATCAATAACTATTGTTTAGGTCCAAAATGACTTCCAAACACTTATTCCAAAATACTAAAATTTATTCCCCTGAAATCAAGTACTTTTTTAAAATAATTTATTTACTTGAAAATTTTAAGAAAAAATAATATCTTTCATTTTAACTTTGAACCAAATTGCTGCAGCTTTCATATATATACACACGAGAACTTATACAAATAATAAAAAAGATTTAATATAGTAAAAAATAAAGCAATTAAAGGTTAGTCCTAAAAAGAAAAATATAATTAAACTCAAGAATATATAAATAGTTTTTACTGTGGTGCATGCTTTGAGAAGATTATCAAATTTTTGGTTCTAAATTAACATTTGCAGGTTTGAACCGATATAGATTAGGGCATGTCGTTAAAGTTTTTTGCACAAACATATATATATATATATATATATATATATGTATATATAGTAGTGTTCAATTACTCCCTGGAAATAAAAAATTATATATTCACTTTTAATTGTAACCTTAGATCTAATCCTAATCAATTAGTTAATTGTCTTTTATTTTATTTATTTTAAGAAACTTATATTTACTTTCCATACCATTAAATATTTTTAAAGAAAAATGACATAACTAGACAATTTATTAAAGGAAACAAGAATAAAATAATTTGGTTACTTTTGGCCAAATTTGCAAGCAGCCAATGAGACGAAGTAAAATTAATCTAAAATTAAAAGTCTATCATTTTTAGTTTCTTTCCACACTTTATCAATTCTATTGATAAATTATAAAAACATATACTAAATGATTTTAAATAAATAGAGAACATAATTTTCCATTAGAATACTATAAATTAAGGACCTTGAAAAAACTTAGGTTTTGCAATGATATTATGCATATTTTGGCATGCTTTTACAAGATCAACATTTTGACCATTTAATTTACCCAAAAAAAACACACACACACACACACAAAAAAAAAAAAAAAAAAAACACTGAGAACATTTAGATGGATATATAATAATATATTAAGAGTTGTTTTGTAGGACCTTTATAAAAAAATTATGAAGTCAATGGTAGTCTCCTAATTCTAAATTAGTTGCTGAACAAATTCAAAATATTTTATTAAGAACATGGATACATTTTTCTTTAAGGATATTTAATCGTAGGGAAAGAAAACGGTAAGTTTCTTAAAATCAAGAAAAGAAAAGTTAATCAACTAATTGTAGTAGGATTAGATTCTAAGGCTATAATTAAAAGTGAGTATATAATTTCTTACTCCCAGTCTCTCAGAGAGCAATTGAACACTACTATATATATATATACTCTCTGGGAGACTGGGAGTAAGAAATTATATACTCACTTTTAATTATAGCCTTAGGATATATATATATATACTGTTTTTTTATTTTATATATATATATAGTAGTGTTCAATTGCTCTCTGAGAGACTGGGAGTAAGAAATTATATACTCACTTTTAATTATAGCCTTAGGATATATATATATATACTGTTTTTTTATTTTATTTAGTTTGGTATAATATACACACTATATGCATGCCAAGTTGAAAGTCAACTCAAAAATTTTGTTTTTCTAATTTTATGAGTGAAAGAATTATTTGATTTAGAAAGGATATTTTGGTATTTTGAAATAAGAGTTTGGAGGGTGTTTTGGACATAAATAATAGTTATTTATGCATATGTAATTATTTGACCTAATCCGACCAAATTAAAAAATTAACTTTAAAAATAGATCGATTTGTTATTTAAAATTCCTAAATATACTTAAATGTAGTTTTCTCTCTCTTATTTTATTTTATTTTATTTTTTATGTGTGATAATATTTGAGTAGGGAGGGTTTAACAACATTTTGTAAATAAGTACTATATATTTTGTAGAATAAATTTTATTTCTTTTTTCCTTTTCTTCAACCCAATTTTGGGTCGATAAAAAAAATGTGAGCTAACAAAGATGCTTCATCCCTCCTCCTTACTTCCTCCATCCCTTTTACTTAATCATTTCTTCCAACGAAAACATAACATTACCATTAACATACAGGAAAAGGAGGAGAAGGAAATAAATAAATAAATAAATAAAAGTTTGACCTTCTGCTAATAATAAGTACTAATTTGTAAAAGACCTAAAAAGAGTAGGATATTATTGTAATTAGGCAAAAGGAAAAGAGCTTAATGTTAGCAAGTCTGTGAGTCACGTCAACATCCAAGTTGCTGTAATTCATGGGATTTCTGCTGAACTAACCAAAAGTTCAAAACGGAACTCCTTTCGGTTAAATATTCGGTGAAAAGATCACTTTTTAAAAAATAAATAAATAAGAAAAATATTATACAATACAAGGAGATTTAAGGGATCATTTTGAAATGAAAAGTACCATAGTATAAAACATATAAAAAATAAACTGTATCATACTATAATTGTACTTTGATTTCAAATAATTTTAACGTAAAAAATAATTGAGAATTCAAAATTTTGATAATTTCAATTAATTTATGTGATTAAGAATGATCGATATCATTAATATTATTGACATCATAATAACTTCAACATCTCTTCCACTATCACATAAAATCAGTCGAATTTGTCAAATTATAAGAAAAACACTATCATTTTACAAATTGTAAAAATTAATTTTTTTAAGATAAGATTTTTACCATTACACGTCATTAATTTAATTTTTCATACGCAGTCTAGTGGTTCAAAAATTAACTATTGTTTGTCTCAAAATATTTTTTTTAAAAATAAAAAGTAAAATTAAAAAATTGCAACAATCGGATCCAAGCGAGAAAAAGAAATGTAGATAATCTGATCATCCTGATCTTTATACTTTTTAAGTGCAGTAGTTTAACAAGAATATGTCAAATTTCAAATAAATTTAAAACTAAGATTGTCTTTGAAAAAGAAAGTCAATCTTATCTTGGTTATTTTATCTTCCTAAAAGAAAAATATGTTATCATACATCATGTTACACAATAAACTTAATTTTCTGCCCAATGATCCGACCATCCAACTGTTTAATTATTATTATTATTTTTATTATTATTTCTAATGTTGTCAGCTGCCTTGAAGTTTAAAGCCAGGTAGTATATATTTTCCAGGAAAACAATGAAATAATAATACGATATCAAAAAACACATTTGAAAATAGAATTTCCGTTTTATCTTGTAACTAATAAATTCAAATATATTATTATGCTGTGTTTGGAAATTTCAAAATTTTAAGAAATTTAGGAGGATTTGAGGGGATTTGATAATTAACTCTTTTAATTTATCAAAGTATTCCTCTGTAAGAGTTCGTTTGATTAAGGTGAAGTAGGTTAGTGAGAGAATTTTTTTTTGAGAAAAGTACAATAATTTTCTGCTTTAAAAAAAAAAACTCTCTTCAAAACACAGGTTATATGGTTAAAATTGTAGAAAATTTATTTTCTGTTAAATTTCCTTTTTATGAAATCGAATTTATTTCAAACGTAAAAATTAAATTCCAATTTAATTAAAAATCAAATTTTTTTTTTTAAAACCAATTTCAAATCAAAGACTTGCTTTCCAAACAAAGCGTTAAAATCCAAATCCATATACAAACACGTGTAGCTTTTCGGTGACTCACACACACACAACACACGCATTAACCCACACAGTCGTTTTCTCGTTGCTTCTAACGATTTCTTGATCTTTCCAGAAATTTCTTCACCTATCTCTCCCAATTTTCTTAACGAATCTCTCTCATTTTCTCTCTCTTTCCGAGCTGTTTCTGATTGCAGCTCGCTGAATATTCCTTTGTTCGTAATTTTCCCGCCGTGCTAGCAGGTTTGTTATTTTCCGAGAAATCAAACAGAGAGATAGCAACCTATGTTTCGAATTTCTCTGTTTAAATTCGACCGTTCGCTGGTTTTGGAGAAAATTGATAGCTTTCAACATCAAAGAAAGGTCTCCTCTCATTTCACATGCAAATGTGTTGGTAAGTCTGGTATTTCGCTTGCATGGATCCCTGTTTGGTTGCTGAGAAAATTGTGTACGATAGAAAGAAAATTACACTATCAGAAACAGAATCCCCTATGAAAGAAAGGAACTCTTTTTCTTTCATAGTGCTGTTTTGGTTTCCACTGGATTCTGTTATATGGTTATTTTCCCTCAAATTTCTTAGCAACCAAGCAGGCATTTTGTAAATACGATTTACGACCCATCAAGAGACGAGCTCAATTTATGCTTATTTAATTTTTGATGCAGAGTTTGTATATAGTGGTATGAGTTTCGGTGGCTTTTGAGATGTACAGTTTTGAGACAAAAATTTTGTGCATTCTGCAATTAGAGGAAATCTTGGTATTGTGAATGAGGAATTTTTGTTCTGATTAGTGTTTTTAGGGAAAAAAATATAAAAATAAAATGGTTACAATGGCTCTAGAATTGGGTTCTGTAATACCAATATTGGAGTTGCTCAACACTTCTGATCATGCTTCCGTCGTGTCGATGACTGTATCTGTGGCACTCCTTTGCGCTTGTATTGTGATTGGTCATCTGCTGGAGGAGACCCGGTGGATGAACGAGTCCACCACTGCCCTTGCTATTGTGAGTTTCTACTCAGTACTCTCATTACACTTTACTTATATTTTTGGATAGTGTGTCTGAAGGAAAATTAAAATTCACGTCACAATTTAGCCAAATAGTTGTAATTGTATTATGCTTAATTAGGCTGTGTTTGTGTTCGGCTGCATGGAATTGGAGAAAATTTTGGTTCAATTTTGTGAGTTAGCTTTTCTCCAATTCCAAAGCTTATATTCCATGTAACCGAACACAGCCTCGGGGTACGTTGAGTATTTGTTTTATTTGGTTATCAGGTTATTGAATGATGAAAAACTCTTATTTTGCTTTGTTTTCCATCTTTCTTGGGAAAAAATGGAGCATTACTTTAATCAGTAGCTTGCTTACCAAAATAAAATTAAAAATAAATGGAGCATTACTTCATTGTGCTGCTCTACAGGTGCGTGCTTCATGTGCATGATGCTGAATTTTGTCATACCACGTGCTCATTCATTTTTCGTTTTCTTTTATACATTTTTCTAATAATAAAGTTATAATTCATCGTGTGGGTTGATGCAGGGTCTATGTACGGGAGTTGTTATTTTGCTAACAAGTGGGGGGAAAAGTTCACATGTTCTAGTCTTCAGTGAAGATCTTTTCTTTATATATCTTCTGCCTCCTATCATATTTAATGCGGGGTAAGTCGAGTATTCCATTGAATCTTGCTGTCTAATAAGATATGTGTATCTTGTATCCGTTGTCCACTGAACACCAGGAGTTTTCTTTAACTTTGTGTATTTTTAGATGATTATGCTCTTATAATTAGTGAATTGTCAGTTAGAAGCGTGTGTTTTTTTTTTCCCTAGCTGATACTCACCTCTACAGGGTTATGTTTTTTGTTTAACCGGGTTAAAGATATCAGTTTCTTTCGTGCTGCTTGGCATCTAAAACCCAGATTTTACCTCAAGGACTATTATAACATAAGTATAAAAATTTGTCAGGTTGTTTATAACTTTTTGGCACCTCATTTCACTTTAAAGTAGTTTGAATACTAGATAACTAGAGTATCGAATTATAATATAAAAAGACAAAAAGGTAAGGGTTGTAGATGATGCAAAGTGAATATTTATATAGAAATATTGTTATGGAGTTTATTTTTATGTTACTTTAATCCAAGACTTCTATTGGATTTAAATCCTAGCCTAAAGCATGGAAATAGTAGTAAGCAATGCATATACAAGAATCAAAATCAAAGAAATCAAATTCATTAGTTATGGATGGCATAATTGAATACCGTGTTTTCATTTCGATGAAGAAATATCCGTGTAAATAAGAGCCTGCAAAGTGAAGGGAATCAGATTTTTTATCGGATTAGAGTTATGTCCTGAAACGGGCAATAGCTTCATGAGTGTAAATATATTACCTTTTACACTTGGAATCTTAAAATGTGGTCCATGTTCCACAATCGGGCTTAATTGGTGCTTTGCAAATAAAGGACAAGGAAATCTAAGGGCGTTGAGGCAGAACTTTGGAGTAATTATATTTGGCATATATGAAAATTTCATTACAACAAAATAATAACTAACTTTGGGGGATTAGATCTTAAAGCTTTAATTAGTTTCTGTTTAACTCAACTGGCTCGGAAATCAGTTAAAGCTGGTGTTAGTATGTCCTGGCTGATGTTAATTGTAATTATTCAATATAATCCCCTCTTTTTGTTTCAATCTACCATCACTTGTTTATGAAATCTGTTGGAACAAAATATGTTGTTTCTGGTCTCAAGCATGCTTGTCTGACTGATTTATGAAATCAACACCATCAAAATTTATTGGAATATCTAAAGTCCTAGTGGGGCACTAGAATATGTCCCCTTAGTGGATGGTTTACAATTTTTATTTTTATTTATTATTATTATTATTTTTTTTTTAATTTTGTGAAATATGAATTGTCAGTGATTAATCATGAGGCCTCCACAATTGTCTATATCCAATGCCTTACTAGGACTCTAGAAGATGTTCATATTGTGTACGGCTTATGATTTTGTTTGTGAACAATGAACTAAAAGATTGTATTATGGTGATGAGCCCTAGAGTTGAGAGACTTTAGGATTACCGTCTCGATGCTAATGGATTTTACCTGTAGGGTATCTCATTATCTTGTGCCGCTTTCCATAAATCTTTCTCCTGAAAGACACTATCTCGTTATATTTCATTTCTTATTAAAAAAGAAACCTAAGGTAAGACATTGGAAAACAAATATGGATGTGTTATTGAATGAAAGTTTTGCATGTTCTGGAAATGCATTCAGAAAAGAATTAGCCAGGGCAGTATTAGTGTTTAACATCGACTTCAAAATCCCTTAGCCATTCTGATTCCCACTATGAGATATCAGACAAAAAAATAGAGTGATCCAGTCTCACTTATCATTGTCATTACCATAAATGTCCAAAAGCTGCAAGGTTTTTGTTTTGATGTTCCACTACGCAGAGCGATATTTCCTGCGTCCTTTGAACTTTTTCCACTTGCACCAGAGTGCATTTCATTACTTGTGCAGCTGTGTTTTTGATGCATGATAAGAACATGTAGTAGTGTCATTCTTCTTTCTTTATCCATGTGGCTAGTTTGAGGCTTTTCTCTTATACTCTCATTGTGGGCATCATTCTTGATATTGTCACCCATCTGTCTACATGCCATTTACCTCCAGTTTTTGAAGGTCTTGGTTGCAGGAAATTATTGTTATCTTACAGGGTTTTAATCATGAGTTGATTTGTTTTTCCCCTTCAGCCCTTCTTTTTACGTCTCCACTAAGATTGTACTTCAATTCCATGTGAGGAATCTTCCATTTGTCTTTTACTTCAGCCTAGTGAGACTTCACAATCGTAATTTTCTCCTCTGGAGAAAAGATGATTCCTTTCATAATATGTTGTTCACATTCCATATTTGATTCTGGTAGTCTGATTCGACTGATATGTGAATCTTGATAGTCCAGAAATTTTACTTCACCAAGTTCTTGAATCATGCTTCTTATTATTGTTCATGTGCCAGGTTTCAGGTGAAAAAGAAGCAATTTTTTCGAAACTTCATGACTATTATGTTGGTTGGTGCCATTGGTACACTAATCTCCTGGTTCATTATATCTTTAGGTACGCTTTAAAACTCTATACATGTTTGGATTATTCAAAATGCCCTTATGAGTAGTCCAGATATCTAGCTGAATTACATCATGGCATGTTTGCTATACTGCAAACATTCTTAGTTGAACAATCATGAGAAAAATTGGAAAATATGGGTTATTTGGTTCTGCTTTATGAATACAGTTCTATGTTTTCAAATAACTGATAATCAGAACACAGTACAAAATTTTGTTTGGTTGACTGTTTTTTGAAAATTCAGTTAAAAAAAGCAAGTTTTAGAGAACAATCTTTTATAGTTTTCTGAAAACAATTTTCTGTTTCACGAGTTCTTGAGAATGGTTTTCAGAAAACTGAACCAAACATGATTTCTTTGCTTTCTTTGAGTTGATTCATACTGTATCTAATTGCTTTTTAGTATCCCTGTACAAAATGGAAACAACATGAACTTGCAAATAGAAGCATTCTAGGTTCCTAATGGCCTATTTAATCCATTTTTTCGAAAGCATTTCTCAAAAACCCAAGATATGAAAATTGTTTTCAAAGTAAACAAATGTTTTTTTCCTTCTCCCTAAAACAGTTCTGAAAAACCCAGGAAATAGAAATGTGTTTTCAAATAATAAACAATTTTTATTTTTATTTTTTGTAATTGAGTTTTTAGAAAACTGTCAACTAACAACTTTTGTACTGTTTTCTGATTTTCAGTTTTCTGAAAACAGAAAACTGTTCTCAGGCCATAAATTAATGTCGGTATTACAACCACGAGATTGAGTGGGATGTAAGTTAATGCATATCACTTAGGTATGCAGCTATATAATGACTCTCTTATGCTCGGCTCAGGTGCCAAAAAAATCTTTTCAAGAATGGATATTGGCTCTTTGGATATTGGTGATTATCTAGGTATCAACCTTATCACTCTCATTTGTTTCACCAGGGTTTTCTTGACTATTTGGGTTCTGACTGTTCTTCTTCCACTATTTTAGCAATTGGTGCAATATTTTCTGCAACAGATTCTGTTTGCACATTGCAGGTATAAAATATATCAAAGTTAAAGCAGTGTTGCATACACTAAAGGTACCAATTCTTTATGAAACTAAACTTTTTTGATAATGCAGGTGCTTAATCAGGATGAGACACCCTTTCTCTACAGTCTAGTATTTGGGGAAGGTGTTGTAAACGATGCGACATCGGTGGTGCTTTTTAATGCAATCCAGAGCTTTGACCTCACACATATTGATCCCACAATCGCCCTTCATTTCATTGGCAATTTCTTTTATTTATTTTTTACAAGCACTATGCTGGGAGTGCTAGTAAGTCTCTAATTTTTACTTATTTGTGTGCATAGAATAAAATTGTGGCTTCGATTGTGATTGACATCATATCTTTTCATGCAGGTTGGGCTTACTAGTGCTTACGTCATCAAAAAGCTTTATTTTGGCAGGTATGTCATCATAATGAAGGCTGAATAATTCTCCCCCTAAAGCGTATTCTATTAACGTTAACTTTACTTTTGCAACCCTATCACACTCACTACAATAAAATGAGTAGTGGTCTCATGTTAAATCCTACTTCTGTACACTTCCTTGTCAAATTCAACACCTACAAGATTTTGATAAAGTACCTAGTCAATTATCTTGGTCTAATTATCATATACTTAATCTTAAGACACTGATATTTCTAAGTATCAAAGCAAAAGTTAGGACATGGAAACTAGTATATCTCAAACATTGTTTATTCATCACCATTTAGATTATTGTTCTTCACATCCTTGAAATTTTTTGATGTACTTTAATGTGCCACATTTCGATGGATGGGTGAGAAACAATTTGCTTTTAATATGAAAGTTTGTAACTGGCTTCCATATACCTATTATCTGCTACTGCCATTTTATTACCATTTCTGTGAGTGGTTCAGACTCAAAAGTAGCTGATAGTTCTATTATTGCTATTTCTTCTCAGCTAAATAGTTAGACTAAAAAAAGAAGAAAGAATTATCTCAAGGTATTTGAATACAAAAATGTACCCAGATATCTTCCCTTGATATTGATTCTCAGACTTCTGCTTGCCTTTTGATCGATGAAGCCTCTAGAATGCCTATGAGCTGTTGCAATTCAGGAGGTCTTTTAATGCAAGTAACGATGAAGAGTAGAGAGTTCCAAAAGATATAAATAGAGATGTATAAAGGGAGAGGAGAGGAAAGACGATAGAGAATGAAAAAGATTAGAGAGAGGAGTAAAGATTTCTGAAAAGCAAGAATGACAGGAGATGATGTAGTGGAGATGTTCAAGTAGTTTTAGAGATAGAGGCGATGCCAGAACAAGATATATGGTGCAACTTTCTGTCATAAGCAAGCTAACTTGTGATTTAAATTAGAAATGCTACCCTAATATGTTTTGGAACAATAAATGTACTTTAATTTCACTACCATGTCTATTGCCCAAGAAACTTTTGTAGAATGCTAGTGATTATCTTTCTTTATTCACGTAATCCTCAATCTTAAGAAAAACAATGTGAGAAACGTATAGCTAAATACAGTAACACACATGCACACACATTTATTGTATTAAGATTAAGGAATCGATCTTTCATCTTCAATAACAAAATTTTGACATGTATTGAAAGAAAATGGTGTTGGTCTTATGGATACCATAATATTAAAAAAATAAAATAAAAAAATTGATTGTCCCTTTGAGCGTTTTTTTATAAAATTCTTACTTATCAAAAAAAAAAATATATTAATAAAATAAAAATATTGATTGCGATTGTAGAGAAGAGAAATCCTGAGGCAACTTGGAAAACACAACGTTTGGTAGGAGGGAAGGAAGGGGGAGGAAGACAAGAGAGGAGGGATGGAGCAAGTCTTCATTGTTTGGTAGGAGGGACAACTCGAGGAAGACCCACTATTTTTCATCTCTACAAAACTGAATGAAAGAGAGCAGTGAAGAGAAGATGAGGATATAATGGTTAAAAATACAAAAACTCTCCATCCCTTCCCTCTATTGAACAATGAAAGGTGTCACTTTTTTTCTATTCCTTTCCACTAAGCCAAACAAAAAGGGGAAAGGATACGTTCCCTACCCTAGGGACGCTTCATCAATCATTCTTACCCTGCTATCGACCGCCCTTTCAATCCTTCATACCAAAATGAAGCAAGGAAAATAATGACGCTTTTGAAGCCTTACGTTAATTCTGAAGTCAAAAGAAAAACATTAAGAGTAGAAAAATTCTTCTGTACGGTACACTTTCAATTGCAGTATAATTTTCTGATACCTTTTATATCACATGTGTTCTCTCTTTCTTAAGTACTAATTATATGATACAAAAGAGCCTTAATTTTGGCTTCTTTTCTATCAGTTAATGTTGCTTCATGAGCCTTTTCAAAATTTTCTTCATTGCATTACAAGTTTACTCATCATAATATGATTGACTCCCATTGCAAGTTTGCTCCAATTTTTTCTGCTCATGGAAAATATACCTTGAAATTTTTTCCTAGTAAAATATACCTTGAAATTATTCATAAAATAATTTGATTGGTAAATAAAATATGCTGGAATGCAATTGTCACAGTATCGTCAGACTCACTAGGAATATATGGAAATCATTTAACCTTTGTTCTTGTTCTCTGAAAATTTAGTGTGTTTGAGATGATTTAGTTATTTGATTCCTCAAATTCTTTTAGTTCTAGTGAATCCTCAAATATTGCTGGAAAGGGTTAATGTGACATTAAGTGCCTTCTTGACAAAATCCAGGCACTCTACAGATCGTGAGGTTGCTCTTATGGTGCTGATGGCTTACCTTTCATATATACTGGCAGAAGTAAGATTCTACTGACTTCACTGGGAGCCTTCCAAGGGGCCCTTGTTTTCATTAATCTCCTCATGCTCTGTTTAGACCTTTAAAGCGTACTTGTTAGTCAATTAACCATGATAACAACCACCATGATTTTATTTAGTTATTTTGTGTGTGTGTATATGTGCAGCTATTCTATCTGAGTGGCATTCTCACTGTATTTTTCTGTGGGATTGTAATGTCCCATTACACCTGGCACAATGTGACTGAGAGTTCAAGGATCACAACCAAGTATGTTTTTTTTTTCTCCTTTCGAAAATGTTATTTAACAATTTGGAATCTATTTTTTGTATTTCTTTTTTAAACACATATATCGTAGAAGTTATTTGATTGACGCTTCAGTTCTGTCTACAAATCATTACAGGCATACTTTCGCAACTTTATCATTTGTTGCTGAGACTTTTATCTTCCTTTATGTCGGCATGGATGCTTTGGACATTGAGAAATGGAGATTCGTAAGTGATAGGTATGTTAAAAGTGCATTTAGAATATAAACTTTTCCTTATAGTTTTCCTTATTATGAGATTGATTTTTACATTTATTTTTCCTTCACTCTGGAATTGTAGCCTGTTAGATTTTGTCTCAACCTGAACAATGTTACTGCTTTATAGAAGTACCATTAATTGTCTTCACATGTGGGCTCATTGCATTCTTTGCAGTCCTGGAACATCAGTCGCAGTGAGTGCAATACTGCTAGGCCTGATCTTGGTTGGAAGAGCAGCTTTTGTGTTTCCCTTATCCTTCCTATCCAACTTAGCGAAAGATTCTCCGAATGAAATAATCAACTTTAAACAGCAAGTATATATTTGATACCTTGAAGCTACATTCCAATTACTTGTTACATCATATCATCTTTAATAAATTCATTTTTCAGGTCGTGATATGGTGGGCCGGTCTCATGCGAGGTGCTGTGTCCATGGCACTTGCTTATAATCAGGTAAAATTCGAGGGCATTTGAAAAAATAGAATTACCCAATATCAAAGTGTCATCATGGATAGAATAGGTGTCATGAAATAATGTTGGTCTCTTATGCCATGGAAATTGATTTACCTTCCCTTATGATCAAATTGATATTGTCCAAAAATGGTAGAATATGCTTGCAAGCACATCGATACATGCACGTGCAATACATTTGCTGTTTTTATTTCATTAAAATGCATCTTTTCCTTTTTCTTTTCTGGGAACTTTGTTTTGGTTTTGAGTAAACACTAATTTTGATGTGTTTATGCAGTTCACCAGGTCCGGACATACTCAATTGCGAGCGAATGCAATTATGATTACCAGTACCATTACGGTGGTTCTTTTCAGCACAGTGGTAAGACTTCTGCATGTGCTATTACTAGCTTCCCCCTTTCTTTTTTCTTGTTTGTTTGTTTGGAGTCTGAATTATTATCATACTTTTTTCTTCTTTCTTAGGTGTTTGGTTTAATGACTAAACCTTTAATAAGATTCTTACTTCCATCATCAAAACAATCAAGCAGCGCTGTATCGTCAGATCCTAATAATCCAAAGTCGGTCATAGTACCACTTCTTGGGGATCGACAGGATTCTGATGATCTGTGTGGCAATGATCTGGTTGTCCCTGATATCCGTCGCCCGTCCAGCTTACGCATGCTTTTGAGCACCCCGACTCACACCGTCCATCGCTACTGGCGTATGTTCGACGATAGCTTCATGCGTCCCGTGTTTGGCGGGCGGGGTTTCGTTCCCTATGTTCCTGGTTCACCAACCGAAGGGAGTGCTGCCTAACACGAAGAAGATGAGAAGTGAAGAGAAGATGTACAAAAGATGAAAGCATCTCCATGTTAGTCAAGGAGTTCACTTCCCCGAACCTGTTCGATCTCATGGGCTTTTGAAATGCCAAGTCTGTCATTTGTATCTGCTGTATATATTATATATAGCTGATATCCACTGGACGTGTTTAAAAGGATTCCAAAATCACACACTCAGTGATGGTTTTTGTGTATATTCTCTCCCTGCAACGAAAAATGTCAAATGTAACCGACATTTTTATTCTAACAATTTGATTAAAAAAACTTGAGTAGTTTTGAATTAATTGGACAGGTATAGTTTAGGCTTTGTTAATCCAGGTGAATTACAATTTGATCAAAAATGATTGGCCTTGTTGAAGAAATCATTAAGGGAAGTGCCATGTTCTGTCCACTTTTAACCTTGCGTGGTCTAGCGTTTATGGCTTTTAGATTTTTATGTGTATATTTGCAATGATATGAGAGTAGTAACTTTAAGTAGGAAAGTTCAGGTTTCTCTCTAATTTTTTCTAACAGCACTAGCATAGGCAGAATAATGCACTTTGTACATTGCATGTTTAATACTAGAGAAAAAGACCTATTTATTTGGTGGAAAACTTGGTGTATCAGCACTCCATTTGATGCAGAGTTCTGATGCTGTACTGCATTATCTTCCATTTGGTAGTTTTAAGGCTGTGTTTGGTGCAGGCACGAGGGGAAGGAAAAGAACAATATCGAGGAAATCATTTTTCTTGTTTGGTTATGATGGTAGGGAGGAGGAAAAATTAGGGAAAGTATGTTAGCATTGTTTTATTTTGTTTATCATCCGCTTTTATTTTTTACCATTCTGGATCATCTTTCAGAAAATTTCTTATATTATATTAGGTACCAGAGAAAATAAGAGGGAAATCGTTTTCTTCTCTCCTTCACTATCATTTTGTTTTCCTTTCCATCACCAAGTCCATGAACCAAAGTGTACCTGGCCACCGGACTAGACATTGGAGATAGAAAACAAGAACGCGATTATCACTCGTTATATTGCATTCTATGTGACCGCTATTATACCTTTTCTCACTTGTGGACTGAATTGTATATAAACTCGCGTTCTATTAAGGCCAAATAGTCATTCGGATTATAGTCTCTGTTTATAATCTGTTTTATGAAGAGGGATTATTTCAATGTAGACTAAAATTTATTTTTCTTCTGAGCTGAGAAAATTTTCTACACAAGGTGTTTTAAAGGAGTCGTTTGTACATGACATAATAACGGTTCCAATCTTTAATGCCAAGTTAGTGTTATAACAGCCTACTTCGATCCTCTCCTGTACCTCACCATGTTTCCAATCTTTAATGCCAAGTTAGTGTTATAACTAGGGCTGCAACTTGGGCGGGTTGGGTGAGGCTGGCACTCATTTCGGGCTAGGTCCATATAAAAAATCTTCAACCCAAGTTTAGCCCAAGCCGCTTTAATCCCGAGCCGAGCTGCCCAAGCTCAGCCCATATGTAATTTGTCCACTCTGAGCCTGCACTAACCCACCTCAGAAGAATTTGTGTGTAAAAATTAAATCAATTAATGATACACTCCTGAATTAATTGAAACCTTAAACATAACTACAAAACACACTACCAACTTGGCTACTACACTCTTATGACTTAAGTATAATTATAAATATATATCATATTTTCGGGCTCAAGTTGGGTTTCGGGCTTCACCCATTTCAACCCAAGCCCAACCCAAATTAAATTCGGACTCAAAATATATAGTTCAGGCTCAAACCGAAATTAGAAAAATATTGCCCAACCCCACAAAATTTCGGACTGAACTTGAATTATTTCGGGTTGAACCCGACCGAGTTGCAGCACTAGTTATAACAGCCTACCCTGATCCTCTCCTGTACCTCACCCGTTCAGCGCATCCTTCACGCTATTAAAAACAACAGTACTCTCATCACAATGTAACACACTTTTTGACCATACATAATCGTGAATGAGAATTTTTACGAACTTGATGTTCATAAATCCGTTAGTCTAGAAATTCTTGTTGGACAATTGAACCTTCTCCTGTTTCTATCGTAATACACTTCATCATAGATGCAATGTAAAATCGTGCAACACATTTATATTGACGATGCAATACCCATGTACATCATGTTGCAACACTGCAACACCTTACACGCTATTGTTGCGTTATCAACTTTTGCTTTAGCAATTTAAAGCATTGAACTACACTGAGCATCCTAATCCCATAACAGCCCAATATAAACAGTTATGTAATTTTCTCTGATGCCAATCTGTCTCAGTTATGTAATTTTCTTCTTTTTACATACTTATAAATCATCCCTTCTGAAACAGTGAAAAGAATTACCCCAAACTTTGTATTGGAAAGTCAACTTAAAAGTAATTTGTCTACTGAAGAAAAGGAAAAGGAAGCACCATTACATGCAAATTCTTATTAAAAAGATCACATATAGACATGTTGTATCGACAATCCCAGTATAGACTTGACTAACTAAACATAGCATCAGGTTTCTTCACCTAAATTCTTTTTCTTGTACCGAAATTTTGTAACTCAAACAGGCATGGAGCATCTCTTGTAATGTCTTCATACCAATGTTCTCCATCAACGGTGCAAAAGATATCCGAGCATAACACTGATGAGTGCCACCATACAGACAAACAGTAAAGGAAATCCCACCTGAACTTTTCTCATGTTTCTCTTACTTCTCAATAATGCCTGCGAAGCAAAGGTAGCCAGAGTCACGAAGCAAGTCCAACAACAATAAGTTTCTGATTCGTGCAGAGTATACTGAAGTGAGTTTCACAGGACAGAGGAAAATACCAAGGGATGAGGACGGACATGGGTTGAAAAGGGGTCTAAACATGTTACCCACTTGGTCAAATATTATCCTAAGGGTGCATATGGAACAAAATACAATGAATAATGATCCATAAAGGCCAGAATGAGTTCAAAATATTTTTTGTATGGTAATCAAGAACCAAAATCGGTATTGAAAATTCCTTCAAAATGCAGACAATCTCAAGTTTGACAAAGAAAAGTGCATGCAAGAGTTTAAATAAAATTAGAATTCCAGATTCATTGATGTAGTTTGACCACAGCTTAATAAGGTGAACCAACAAAATGGAGCACTCTTCAATACGAAGACTTTCATTCCTTGCACGCACCCACTACTGTCTCCAATGGGATTCAAACCCTTTCAACCTCCCATGTGGGAGGAAGAGTACAAACTACTTGAGCTAAACGCCTAGCAGTCAATACAGAGAGAGTACGCGGTTCCTCGAACCAAAGACATTGTATCTTGGATTTTATAGGGAATGCATTAATGTTAACATTTAAAATTGAAACTGCAAGATACCTCCCTCTAAAGAGTAAGTTGTAACATTTTCAATTGTTAAAAAGGGCAATTGCAAAAACTTGTATAATACAGAGGTAATTTTGCAATTAACCCTTCAATGACAATAGATTTAGAGAAGCTTATTGCACAAGACCAAATGTGTGTAGCAGGAGGTTAGTGTTAATTTTTTAACGGATAATTATTTTCATAGGCAATTTATCTGCATAGGCGAATGGATATATTACATAAATAGTTCATTCTACTTGTCGCATATTTTCTGCATCCTACACATGGTAGGTATCCTTCTATTACAGTGTTGTAACTTTTGGGTCTTTGGGAAAAAAACTGTAAATCTTTGGAGGAGATAGTTGATTTTTTGGATATGTTTAGTGTTTAGGGACCCTATTTTTTGGATATGTTGAGTGTTTAGGGACCCTATTTGGGCTTTTGCGGGGAGTGCACCCTATTTTTTGGATATGTTGAGTGTTTAGGGACCCTATTTGGGCTTTTGCGGGGAGTGCTCCCCTTTTTGAGCACCATCTAATGAAATCTTACTTACCAAACACACAAAAAAAATAAAAAATAAAATTATAACTTTAATTTCACTGTAATCTAGATTTTATGGTTCCGTTCCAACTATAATATGATAGTTTATATAGATATTTTATTCACTGCCAAATTTAAGGGGACAGGCTGTCACTGAATTCATCGTGGACGTCAATGGCAGGTAGTTGTATAATGCATGGTAAGCCTTTATCATTCAAAATCGTCCAAGCTCCATCTCTCGTTCTACGTGATCAGTTCTCAACAAGTTACAGTAATGACGAGTGACATTATAGGGTTTATGCCTAAATGACATCAGCCCTATAATGAGAAATACTCAATAAGAAATGTATGCAATTAATGAAGTTACCAATTCTTTTTGTAAACTTTCCCTCTCTTGAAATGTCAATCTTCTTTCTTCTGTTAGCTTCGAAATTGTAACTTTAGCCTGCAAAGGAAGTCCACAACATTTCATGACTACCACACTTCAAACTTTGTAAAACATTTTATACGAATTTTGTAAAATTCAAGCAGTCAAGCAGCCCCACTCATGATGCAAGTGGACAGGACAAGGGTCTGTAATACTAATAATTACATATAATAATAATAATAAAAAAAAAACAGTTCTGATTATAAAAAATTCACAATTAAAACATCAATACATATTGTTCTCACTACAAGAAAATGAAAAAAAGTGGACTAGGTCATTACATGTATGAGAGACTACCTGGGGCTGGATCAAGCTTATCAGTATTTTATGCAAATGAAAAACCTTGTAATCTTATGCATATATTCCATATAACTTGTACGCGGAGGAAGAATTTATATGCAAACTAAGCCCACAGCTATCACATTTTTGTCTCTCATGAGATGGGTCTACCATATACAGGGAAAACACACGAGAGAGTCCAATTTCTGATGCAACTAACTAGGCAACAAATGCCATATCGTTATAATGACATTACGTTGGAAACCAGAAACAACGGAGAAAACTGACCTCACTCAGTTTTGATTCAAGTTCATTAATTTCTGACTTCATATCCTCAATATCTTTAACTAACTTCAGCTCCTCTGTGCCCTTCATTGTGACATATTCTACATCATTTTCTGGCTTTAACTCACCATTTTCCAATTTGGACTCCTCCACCTCTTTAGTAACCTAAAACAAGAAAAAAATAAGCCATTGGAACAAAATTGAATCTCAATTCAAATTCTATCATAATGAAATCCAACTAGTAAAATAACACCAAGGAAACTATAATACAAAATTTAAGCTCCAATGCACCCTTCGATGCACATGTACAAACCCTAGTAATAACCTCCAACTTCTAAGAACAGGGCCAAAAATTTTTTAAAGCAAGTTTATGTCTAATAATAGAAGCATATTAAAATGATGGGGAAAAAATGGTATAAATGAACCTGACACTGTCAACAATGTTAAGTAACAGAAGGATCTCTTACTGTGTGCCACTGAGTGAGGCTTTCATCTTTACTCGGTACTTGGTCATTCAGTATTGAAGATTCATGAGCTGGCACCTGCTTCAAATGGTAGAAAGAAAAAGGTCATAAATAAGCCTGACATTATCAATGAAGTTAAGTAGCAGGAGAATCTCTTACTGTGTGCCGTTGAGTGAGGCCTTCAACTTTACTCAGTAGTTGATCTTTCAGTATTGAAGGTTCGTAAGCTGGCACCTGCTTCAATGTTCCACTGATTGGTGATACTACAGGTGAATCAGGTGGGCTGACAAGAATCACTCTCAGCTTGCTCTCGTCAATATATTTACCATCATCTTTGGCAAACTGCCAAACGATAAAAATGAGAAACCAGACTAGAAATCAGGACCAACAACTTCCTACACAAGTACTTACAGTGCTAGATGTAATATCCTCATTGGTTGTCCCTGCTGGAACAACTGTGGTTTGAACCAAAAACTTGTCTTTGCATACCATGTCTGGGGGAACCAACCGTTGTGCTTGCATTGTAACTGCATAAAATCCAAATGAAACAGAAACAATGGCACCATCAACTCTATTAAAATGAACAACAATAGATAAAGACTACAATGCAAAACCAAGTGAAGATAATAAGTGAAAACAACTTTTGGGACAACAGAATATGCTTCATTTAAGTTGAATAACACATCTATTCTAATGCAGATGGCAATTGAAAGAACGGACATATGATGAAATAAATTTTACTTCTTTTCCTTTTGCAATGTCCATCTTCTATTCTAACTGAGGAACTTTAACACGCACACTTCATCATGGAAGGCACATCATCTGCTTCCTTCGGTAATGGCTCAATTCTTCTGCTTTATTGGAGAATAATAATGCACTCGCGCAGTTGTGCATAACTAATAACTATTCATCTCCTAAAACTAACTGAATGTAAATATGCTAGTCAGCATGTCATCTTCATTAATAAGTTGGACCAACTTCTTCACTGAGCTTACGACTTTTTTTTCTTTTCAATAACAAGAATGATTGTCAGTTATTCCCCTTTAAGAGAATGATATTAGATTTCCGCTACAAATGGATGGGATACTGGAAAAGCAAACTCTACATACCATGGTTACCTTTGCACACTTATGACAGCAGCAACAGGAATTTCATGTATTTTCTACTGAGATACAAATAATGTCAGGTCTAGACAGTGGATATTGACTTCAAAGACAGTAAAAACTATTTAGACTCAAACAACATCTAAAGAAAAGTGAAATTATTAAAATCCCCAGAAATCATAACCCCTGCAACCACACTCCCCCAAACCAAAAAAAAAGTCAACCAAGTCTGTCATAACAACATGCAAAAAATCTCAATGTATTAGTAGATGAGCAAGAAGATGCCATGTCATAAAATATCCTAAGATGCTAAATGTTCATGTCACTGCATCTCCTACGGGAAGGGAAACAGATGACCAAACTCCAAAATTAGTCATTATAACAGAGCCCAAAATCTACCTCTCACTTCCATAAATCGAGCATATAAATAATGGGGAAATTAAGACATAGGGTAACAACAACCAAGCCTTTTCCCAATTACTCGGGGCAAATTAAGACGTAGAGAATTCGTTAAAAAAAATGAATATTATTATGACCCAGTGGAATAACATTCAAAATTACATCCTTCCATGAGTTCCCCTGCCGACAGCCTCAGAAATGCATATGCTTAATAACTTTCTTATTTTTTCTTTTTCATATCTTCCCTCTCTTTGTTCAGATCTTCCACCATCCCTCTCTGTCATTTTATCAACTTTCATTCCAACAACTACAAAGTCTGCCTCACATTTTCACATATGGAACCATTTTGCATAAACTTTGGACTTATATTTCGAAAAGTCTCGATGCATAACAGCAATCTATAGAAGATACCATTATTTTCATTACCACTGCCATTGTCAATAACTTATCCATGACTTGCCGTTTTTGTAGCTCCTATACACCAAAGCTATCTACATAATTTATGGATCCCCTAAAAAATGTTTCCAGTTCAAAGTTTTAAACCACTAACAATATGAACTGTTTGAACTCCTTAATCTTTATGAAGGAGTACTGACCATCCCCATTTGACTTTACATCATTACTAAATTAGTTTCATGTATTGCCCTGACAAATGCATCAAGTTTTTATTCAGCTTTCTGGTTCTGTAAAACCTTATGACATACAATATAAAAGTACAAGGACTATCAAGACAAAAATAAAATAATCATTTTCAATTTCCTAGTCCACCCATATATCTCCCCAGTCCATGTTAACTCTTCAAAATTCAACCAAGCAAATACCTTGTAGACATTTAGATATGGTAAGAACATACCAGTGAATTCACATGTTGATTTTGGATCAATTGTGCCTGTGTTTGGTCGCACACAGTATTTTTTTGGAGAGGTAGTTTTAACCTGCCAATCATGCCATGATATTATTGCTACTTAGAATGCCATTTAGCAAATGCAATCTTTTCACTATTATCATTTTTGTGAATAAGCAAAATGTGTCCGCACCTTGAAAGCAACATGATGATTGGAGTTATTGAACAGTTGAACACAGCATGAGCTTTGCTTCTTCAATTCAACTTTAAAAAAGATGGCAAATATATTGAGACATGTTAGCCCACTACTTTAAATTTAATAACGCAGTCGCAAAATCTGATAGAGAATGAATTGAACTGAAACAAAAGTCTGATCTTAGTAAAGTTAAAACCAATTTTTTGTTCATTTCTTCAATATAAAAGTATAAGCCTTCTCTAAAGCGTAGCTAGGGTGAATTTAACAACATAACATCTGATTTTCAGGGCCGCAAAACTTAGTTCCACCATTACAACAATATATATATATATATATGTAACAAATTGTTTATTTCCTAATTATGAAAGGAAAAATATGTAAAGAGCACCAGAGATGAGCGAGGTAGAACGACTCACATATGAATTTGAGTTCTCGGGGTTGAATATCCACAAGTTTTGTGTTCATTTTGCTGCTTCACAGAATTGCAAATGACCCTTTCTGCATCCAAGGCTACAAAGTAGCAAATGACATCCAGTTCACTTAACCTGCAAATTCATACATAATTGTACAAGTCCAAAGATCAAAAACAGCCATTTTACCATCACATAATTTAGAAAGAGAGAGAGAGAGAGAGAGAGTCTGTTGACTATTAGTAAAAGTTCTCTTTCTTTTTTTTTTTTTTTTTTTTTTTTTTCTTTTTTTTTTTTTTTTTCCTGGTAAAGACTATTACTAAAAGTAGTGATCAGAAAATGATAAACAAAAAAACAAAAAAAAAAAAAACAGAGCAATCTCCAAAAAGTACCATCAGAATCAACCGAACAGTTAATATCAAACCCTTCTTAGTTCAGAATCGAAACCACTATACAAATCATATTTCTTCAATCGCACAACAACAAACTCAGAATTTTACCAAACGTCATGCGCTTCAACGAACCGAGATCATAATCAAAGCCACTATGCAAGTCATATTTCTTCAATTACACAACAATAAACTCAGAATTAAACTCAATGCCTAATCAAAATCGTCTCTTACTAATCAACTCAAATCGTACAAGAACACACAGTAGACGAAAACATGTCCGATCAATCAAACGACACTGTTGGAATCAGAAAAGGAAACCAAAACTTACCGGATGGACTGTAGACTCTGTAGCGACGACGAAGACTAGAGAGTTCGAGAAACGGAATTTAATGGCTTGTGACAGCGATGAATTTAAGGTGGGTTCTTGAATTAAATTCAATTGCGTGGAAGTGCCGTTTCAGTTGTTGATTGGATACGTATAGTTAAAACCTCACCCTTCGTTGAATCGGAAGAGAGAGAGAAACCCTAGAATATTTTATATAGAGAGTGTGTGCGAGTGTGTTTTATAGAGAGAGAGAGAGAGGAGGGGAGATCGGTTTGGTGGTCTGAAACACTTTTTAGGACTGAAATGGGGGGAGTGAAAGCGAAGTACGGACTATAAAGAGTTTGTGGCGGTGGTTGTGTTGCGAAGGTAGTGTGGGTCTGTAGACGGTTGTACCGACCCTTTCGGCTGGTTATTTCGGCTCGGCTTCGCTTTTTTATCGGCTCGGCTCGAATGGAGGAACTATCTGGTGTGGAAGATGCTATACTTCCACCAAGAAAAATGAAATTTAAGCAGACAAGTGAGACCTAAATATTTGTGGAAGACTTGTTTATCCTTAAACACGGATCTAAGGAGATTCCGACTAGTAATTTGCATCTAACTTATTGGCTAGAGTAATTTTTTTTTATTTTTTATAAGGCCTAGTGGAATCCAATCTGTGAAATAATTTAATCGTTGTGGTAAAGATCGAAATACCAAATGAATCATTACCATAAAATATAGAGGAACGGTTATAAGCGTCTATATTGTAAAATTGATTTTTAACAAAGATTAAAAAGACATATAGATGAAATAATGAATAAAATATATATGAATTAAGTGTTAACACTATAAATTAGATTGTAAATTCGTAATACACCCGTATATATCATGCATATGATTAGTCTAATTTTAGACTAAGGAAGCATGGTTATCCATTCCATCCATCTTTTGTTGTGGCTTATTAGAATATTTTTTATTCTCATTATTTTAGGTTTTTTCAAATGTGAAAATTTGTTTCTGTGATGTCTAGCCAAGAAGTCAATATCAAATGTTTCAACTTTCAAGTAAGGAAATCAAAATAGAAATATTATAATTTGGGCAAATAAAGAATGCATGACTCATGAGTATATAAATTATAAAACTGCCTAATATTTTTACTAGTTGCGACCAGAAAAAATAAATAAATAAATAAATCACGGCAAAAACAAAATTATGAAGTGTGGTAGATGAGGAGGTTGGATCAAAGCTAACAACTCAATTTAGAGAACAAGAAGTCAAGGTAGTAAGAGATCCTTCCATTCATTCTAATAAATTAAAATATTAAAAGAATATTAAAGTTACCAAATTTTATTTATGTGAACGCTGTGTTAAATCCTGTACATCATCATTGTAACCACACGTGAAGGGATTAACCATTCTATTCACATAAATGAATTTGAGTGATTGCCGAGATTCATATATCACTTCTCATATCAAAATTATGGCTCTCACCTTCAACCAATAACGCGGAATCAAATATTGAGCAAATCACATTTGTGATTTATTTATTTATTTTTCATTAAAAAAATTGAATCAAAAGAAGCTTAACCTTTATCACTTTTCTCTAATGTTCTGAATAGCTTATTATGCCCTTTTCTGGAATCTACACAAATCCCACATTGTAAGGTTAGACAGCCATTATAGCTGGCTTAAATGCTCTTTAGTGCCACAGAGGGACAACAAAGTGCCTATAATTTGGTATCCTATAATAAAACTTTGAATTTGTGTCCCACAATGCATTATGTTATTCCTTTTCTTTTCCTTTTATGTAAAATTGGATTATTAGCATTATAAATATGACCCATTTTTAAAAAAAAAAAATTAATAAAAAAAGGTCTACTTTTTGGGGGAGAAACTATGCATACTATGATTCCACCATATTAGACAAAAGTTGTCATTTTCAACTTTTCTAGGCAAACTTGTATTCTTAGGCATCCATAAAACATGTTATACAACTCACTTTTTAGTAATTGTCGGTTCAGCAATACTCACTAGAAAACAAGAGCTTTTGGTCGCAAAATGGTGGTAAGAACCATGGTTTATAATATGACACAACTTATTAGCTGTTTGGTTTCAGTTACTTTAGAAGGGATTTTTATTTTTTTAGAACTAAAAATGTTATATAAAAATTTTCTGTCTGGTTAGTTTGTGAAAGCTATTTTTTTAAAATTCAGTTTTTTAAAAAAAAACTTGTTTACATATAACAATTTAAAAATATTTTTATATTTTTTGAGTTCTTAAAAACTATTTTTAGAGAACTGGACCAAGGATAGTGTTGAAGAGTGCAGATGCAGGTTCTTAATAAGTTGAGGAGATCGTTCCACGTCTATCAAAAAAGTTGAGATTAGAGGTTGAGTGGAGCTCCAATGTAGCACAAGAAATTCTTGTAGAGGAGATTGAGAGAGAGAAGGCAGATTTGTTTAACATCTTATGATAGCTTAAATCTTAAAAGACTATTATTTATGATTATGGTTGTGGTGGTGTATATGTATTTTAACCCCTTTAAATGTAAAGAGTTCATTCCTATTTATATTACTTTCATTTAGGTAAGAACCCTTGGTTATGAGAGTTAACTCCCTCTTTATCCAATTGTCATTTTTCCTAGGTAAAGACCCTTGATTACGAGGGTAGTTCCCTCTGTTGCCCCTTTCGAGGTGGTGATGATGGCATGTATTGAATGCGGGTCTTATCAATCAATCAACAAATATTTAATGCATTATGTTGTCTCTATTACTCGATCTCAGCTATTGGATATTAAACATTCTTTAATACTTGGAACTCAGCCACCTAACTACTGATACTTAGATTCCCACTATCAGCAAAGGAAAAGAGAGACTAATCAAGGGCCAGCCCTCTGAAACCTCAATTTTTCGTTCCTTGTTCACACCTTGAGCCCTCCTTTTACAAAGGTTTGCTCAAGGCGAGAACTGTTTTCTAATGAATATACAAGAAACTTTTTCTACAAAAGCGAGTTTCATACGAGGGTTTGGTGAAACCCATCCGACTAGAACAGGACATCACCATAGGAGCGCGAAGGGTAGCAACCCTTTACCCTTGTGAATTCAGTATTCACCATAAACCTAGTAGCTCGAGACTCCTGGTCCTGTCAAGAAGGTGCCAATTAGGACTAGATAAGGTCTTATCAGAATTGGTCAGATGTATTTTCAATCATAAATAGTGTCACATGGCGTATGGTGACCTTATGATTTCAAAAAGTTAGAGTAATTTTATTATTGATTCTATGGTTATATATATTGATGGCTACGAAGCAATTGTTAATTCTAATAAATTAAAAACAATAGTTTTAAAAAAAAAGAAGTGGTAGGCAAATGTCCAACAACTATTCTTGTTAGCTTTCAAAAAAAAAAAAAAAAAAAAACTTTTTAAAAAATATTTATGTCATTAATTACCACATCAAGTTGTATGATGCAATAAAAGAAATTGTCAATTATATTAATTTTCTATGTGAATATATAATAAATAAGTAATAATTCTCTAAATTCTAATATTTGCTGAGGTTTTTCATTTAAAAAAAATCTAGCTTATTCCCTAACCGACAATGCAAATCAAGAGAATTTTATGTTTTTTTGGATGCATTTGACGGGATCCAAGCTGAATTTCATCAAATGAATTCAAAGAATAAAAATTCCTTTGAGGTACTGTCGGTCTAACCGATAGAGTCTTAAATATAAATAGTATTAGTCATATATATAATGCATATCATATTTCTTTAAATATTGTTAAAAAAAAAAAAAAAGTTTGTTTAAATAGTATTATTCATATATATATATATATATACACAGTATATTGTTTAAATAGTATTATTCACATATGATAGTACAATTCATGTTTTGTCAGTATAATTACATCTACGTGGATTTGACATCATATCTCTCACCAACTTTGTTTCATTCCTTTGTAAAATAAGAGTTTTTTTATTTTTTTATTTTTATTTTTTATGGAATTTTAAGCAACTATATTATAAATAAAAATAATTACAAATGGAAAGAAGGCCAATGGCCAAACATGACAAGGAGCCCAAACAAAAAGGCCCAAACCCAATTACAATCCTAGCCCAGGAGACAAATTAACGGCTACAAAATCGCTAATAGAGGTTATCTAACCACCAATTTCGGTAAACAATTTGGGAATTCCTATGCACTGAAGTATAGAGAGTGTGATCAATCCGGCGGCCTTGGAGGAGGACGGCGACGACAACAATTCGAAGAGACATTCTAATCCTTGAGAATGGAAGAGGTCGCTGCACAATCTCTGAGAAGCCCTAATTTTAGGATTGAAGTAATGGTATGGCAGACTTTGCTGAAGAAAACCCTTTAAGAGGACTCCTTGCCTTTGAAAATTCTGTGGTTCCTTTTTTCCCATGTGTTGTAGACGATAGAGGATAGGCTAATTTTCTTAAAGTGGTTCACCGCTGAATTAAGTTTCCATTGATTGCTTATTACAACTATCAAGTCTGCCCAATTTCGAGCCTGTGTGTGGAATCTGCATCTGTATTGGATGTGTCTCCATATTGGCGCAATAAACGGGCATTTGAAGAAAAGATGGTCATGGGATTCTGTGTGAATTTTGCAGAAGGCACATATGTTATGCAGCTTTGCCATTGATTTGCAGTTAAGAGTAGGAAGCCTTGATTGAACAGCAAGCCAGATGTTGAATTTCATTATGGGAATTGTGTGTGAATGCCATGCTAGGTCATGCCAAAAAGCTGTGCTGTGATGGCCTTCAAGGTAAGCTCTAGTAAGCTTAAGGTTGTATGTGCCTGTTGTTGAAATAGTCCAGACTTTCTTATCCTCTCTAGAAACACAAGGAGGTGGCAGAGTGAGAAGCTCAGGGATAACATCAGTGATTAAGGAGGGGAATGACCAGGAGTTGTTGAAGATGAAGACATCAACTGTTGTGGATTCATTGTGCCCAATGTTAATGAGGATGGAAGATGAGAATCTAAGGCAGAGAGGCCCCCCAGGAGCCCAATTGTCTAGCCAAAATGAGGTTCCAATGCCATTTCCAATTTTGTGAATAATGAGAAGCCTGGCAAGGTGTCTTAACTGAAGGATCTTCCTCCAGCTCCATGAACATGGCTGAGGATAAGCCAAAGTCCAAAGATTTCTAGCTTTGATGAGGTGAGTATGACACCATCTTATCCAAAGTCTATCTGAATTATCAGTTTGAAGATGCCAAATAAATCTCATAATGCTTGCTTTATTTGAAATCTCCAAATTTGGGATTCCCAATCCACCTGCTTCTTTAGGCTTGCACACATTGCCCCAATTGATTTTAGCC